TCCATTATATGACTGACAGACAAGAATGGTTTGACCTAAAAATATCAAAACTGAAACTACTGCGGAAACAAAGACACCCACATCTTGGATGCCCTTGAGGTAAAACATACCAAACATTTATTTCAAAGTTTCTATCCCTTTAACAGAGATCTCCTGCTTTGCCCTACATAGCCTGAGATTTCTCCAGATTCTTTCAATATTTTCACAATATTATGCACAGTAGATGGTAAAAAAAAACACTTTGCAAAATTGAGAAATATGATTTTTGAATAGTTTGAAAATTCTCTCATGAAATTTAACACAAAGTAATGAGCCATGACCAATCTTTGCTTGCCAAGTCTGAGTCTTCGGTAGATGCTCCAAAGACGACACCCATTACCCATTCACCTGCTTATACTGTTTCAAAACGGTTTAACTTGGATATTCTATAATCTTTTGACTTTTATTTTGCTTTTACTTTACTTTTTGGAGTGTTGGAACCATCAAAATCCAAATTTGTTGGTCAGTGAAAACATTTTGTCAGTTAAATCCCAAATTCTTGATTTTATGGAATTTTACAAAAACTTTTCTGGAAATTGGGATGTAAATATGACATTTTCAAATAAACTATTTACCAGTATATTGATAAATCATTTATATTTAAAACGGCTAACTAAAATTCCATCAAGTGAGTGTATGGATAAAACATTTCTTATTAGTGGTTCCTTTAAGATATTTCTGTATGTATTGTAAACGCTAATTCAGTATGCAGTATTTAAACGGTCCAGTCATTGCTTTCAAGGGTACATTTTTGCTTTTTTTTATTTCTTATATCTGTATTTCAGATCTCTTTTTCTGGAAGTCTCATGATTTACTATTAAAAACGACAGCTTTTACATACTATTTCACAGTTTTTGTCGCCACCTGTTGGATGTTTTAAGATTCGTCATTTAAGATATTAAAATTTGAAGGAACTATCTGTGAACTCTATTGAACTGTATCTGATCAGTGAAAACCCTGATTAGGTAAAGACCAGATCATGTTTGTTTAACCTGTTATTTCACTATTTCTCACAATAAAATCTGCATGTTCTCAGAATGAAACCCAAACCAAAGTAAATTTGTGCAGTGATTTGGAAGTGTAAATCACAAGATCTCCATCGTGTACCAGTGTGGAGCTCAGCAGATGGTGGATGACTATCAAATGCTTTTGTTGCCAATTCAAGTGATTGAAATAAAAAGGTTTTGGTCATTGGTGAGGGAGGGTCATATTAGTGTTGTCAAAGAACTTTAAGTTAACCTTTGACTAAATATGCATGTTTAAATAATGTAATCACAGTCACAGTGTCCTTATCATTAAACTCACTGTTGACCCTTGGTGGGTTCATCAGTGAGATATTAGTGAACATACTGTATGACAGTTTATCAGGTTGAATTATGTGAAGAAAAGCATCATTAAGGAGATCTTTTGTGTGTATTAATCATAGGCCTAATACAGTAAGTACTGAATCAAGACAGAGTGAAGAATCAAATTCCACCACAGCAGGTTGTCATTTTTATTTTCACACTTTTCACGCAAGTAAAGATTTCTTATATTAATTTACTGTGTACATTTTGTATTTATAAACACTTCCCATGTGACAACTAGCCCCGGTCACCCATACATTAATTCATTTGCAGACATCTGTGGGTCAACTTGGATGGACTTGGTCTCCTTTTAAGGATTAATCTCTTATAGCATCTGCTAAATGGCAGATGTAATGCCGATGGAAAGGGGAACTTGTTTCAACAATGAAAGAACAAGTGGGAGGTCTCAACTGTTCCTCATTCAGTCATTTAATGCATTGCTCTTGAAAATCACATGGACAGTCCCATGGTCCATGAGGTCAAAGGATTAGTTCACTTGTAAAAAAAACTTTTTGCTGATAATTTACTCAACCGCATGTCATCCAAGATGTCCATGTCTTTTTTTCTTCAGTTGAAAAGAAATTAAGGTTTTTGATGAAAACACTCCAGGATTTTTAGCTAACCAAACGGTTCAAGGTCCAAAAGACACTTTTAGTGCAAACGGCAAACTGTTGAAACGTTGAATAAGGGTCTTATCAAGCGAAACCTCGCTCATATAAAAAAAAAAATATATATATATAACAAAGTTGATGTTTTATAAGCTGAAATGGTCGCCTTGCTCTGTTCTGTGAAGCGCTTTTGTAACTCGTTTATCAAAATGAACAAATCTTTTTTCGTGTCATTTGGTTCATTCAACAAACGAACTGAACGAATTGACTCGGAAAAAGTTTATTTTCAAAAAGATTCATTCACAGAGCAAGGTGACCATTTGAGCTTATAAAACTTAAACGGTGTTATTATTAGGCTATTTTTTTTTTAATGAGCGATCGTTTTGCTTGATAAGACCCTTATTCATCGTCTGGAATCGTTTTAAGCCCTTTGAACAGGAACAGTCTTTTGGACCTTGAACCGTTTGGTTCCCAAGTGCATTATGGAGAAAAATCCTGGAATGTTTTCATCAAAAAAACTTAATTTATTTTCGACTGAAGAAAGAAAGACATGGACATCTTGAATGACATGGGGGTGAGTAAATTAGCAGCAAACATTTTTTTTTAAAAAAAGTGAACTACTCCTTTTAAGTGTTTTACTCAAGAGCATACTGGTGAACTGAATTCTAATGGTTTAGATAGACCATGCACTACAATCTTAAAAATATAGATTCTTCATTGGCATTTTGGGGCCCACCTTTAAAATCCAACCTTTCCACTCCACAAAAGTTTATAGAGGGAAAGTGTTCTTTAGATTTTTAAAATGTTCTTCAAACTAAGAAAAAAATTGTTCTCTTAAGAACTAGTCACCGAAAGGTTCTTTGGGAAACAAAAATGAATTTCACGATCACTGTAAAAAAAAAAAAAAAAAAAAAAAAACGGCATCAAGAGACTGATCAGATTTTATCTGTCACGACTCACGATCAATATATTGTATTGCTTCATCTTACGGCTTATGTTTGCACCAAAAAGCGAAACACACTTGGCCTGAAAAACAACCACGCCATCAGTATAAAAAGCACATTGAAAAAAAAATGTTCTCAGGCATGAATATAGTCTTGCTTGTAAAGTATACGAGTCACCCCCCCCCCCCCTTCTTTACAAAGGATGAGGTGATTTGCATAAAGAGGCACAAAGCTTGTTATTTTAAACAGATTAAACTGCTTTGAGTGCCAGAACTTCTCAGAAAATTTGGCTTAACATAACACAGTTAAAAAGAAAAAAATAGATGCCTTTTGAGGCTCATTAACCATTTCAAACCAGGCTATCTTTGAATAACTTATAAGGTTTCCTAAGATTTCATCATTACTTCAGAATCTTAAAGCTGAAGCTTCACGCACAATTGAATCCTTAAGTTCCTGCAAGAAGTTTAAAGACTATCCTCCAGTGAGCCCATCATGAGGGAAAAGGTCCCAGAGGCACCACAAATATATACAGTACATTAAAGTTTCTTGAGTTCTTGATCAGTATTCCACTAAAACTGGAATTGTGTTTAACTGGAATTATTGTGTTAATGAACGTTAATATGAACTGTGTAGCCTCTGAATTAGCAGAGGATTCTCATGTTACATATTTTTTCCACATAAAAAAAAAAGAAAAGTTGAAATGTGGTTAGCCAGACAGAGTTGTAACATACTTTCACATGTATTTCTGTTGAGCCAACAGATTGTACAATATGGGAAAGTCTGACAGACATAATTGCAAAAGTGACTAACATGCACTCAATGTTTGTTGTTATGTCTTGGTTTTATATTTGTTTATTTCTATTGCTGTTTTGAATTAAATATCTCATATACCATTTCAAATTAAAATAAACTGGGGGTCAAGGTAATGATGGAGTAGAGCAACTGTTTACAAGTAAAATTGATTAAAATTCATCCACAACATTTAAAGGCGTCCATGTTTTCTATTAGTGTTAATAATTGCATTGTAATCCAGTGATATTTTAACAATGGCAGTGCTTCTTACTTGACATTCAATTACACCGTTGTGGGATAAGCAGGAGATTTTTAAAGCACATCTACATTTATGCGTTTGGCAGAAGCTTATAAAGTTAAGCCCAGCAAACACAGAACGTTCCCCTATAACATTCCTGAATGGTCCCATAAGGTTATTTTTTTGGGAACCAAACAAGAACGTTATAGGAATGTTCCATGTAGGTTATTTTTAGGTTCCATTTTTATAACGTAAGCCTTAACCTTAAGGGAAAGTTCTGGGAACGTTCTGGGAACCAAAAACTAACATTCTCAGAACCTAAATTTGTTTGCTGGGAGGTAGGCCTATACACGTTATCAGTTTTATATGCATTCGCTGAATCAAACTCTACATGAATGCTTAAAACATTTTGTAAGCTAAAAGGTTTCTGCAAAATACTAGGTGTTTATATTGTAGCCTACACTGAATACATTTTTAATGTAAATAACTGGCAGCGGAAAAATACTTCAACACAACTGCATATGTATCCGCACATACAGGTGGGCTAGGCTACACCATAATATCAATTTTAATATAGAACTATTATTGCTCATTGATGGGAACTCCTTCAATGAGCATACAAAGCTTTCCAGAAACCGTGTCACCACAATTCCAATTGAGTAGTTACAAATATTAATGTCAATAGCCTATTATTTAAGCACATTCGCAGAAACCTCGTGTCACCACAATTCCAATTCAGTAGTAACAAATTATTATTTAAGCACATTCGCAGAAAGCTAGAGTTGTTGCCATAATAAATGTTTGCAATGCGCCAAAGCAAGTGTGCTGTGCGTCTCGCGCTCGATCACTAAACAAACAGTTAATTACAGTTTCATTGGAAGTGATTAATTACAGTTTCATTGGAAGTGATTTTAAAACGGGTTTGTCAACCAGAATCCACGGCCAAAATGTTTCCATCAACCGCAATAGTCATTCAAAACGACCGTGCGAAGGGGGGCGTGGTTACAGTCTCACTGTAGCACCGCTACCCGCGCGCTCCACAACACAACAGTCAGCTGGGGAGAGGCAGGCGTGTGCGCGCGCGCGTGCCGACCAACCGGGAAGCGAAGCGCAAGCCGAGAAAGACCCCGTTCAACCTCAACGGCGCAGGCTACAAGTCGAGGAGATTTCTACCCACTACATCCATTCCGTCCCCATCATGGCCGACCCAGCGGCTGTCGAGGGCGAGGGCGAGGGGGCCGCGCGAGGCTTCGCCAGGCAGGGCGCGCTGAGGCAGAAGAACGTGCATGAAGTGAAGAACCACAAGTTCATCGCTCGCTTCTTCAAGCAACCGACCTTCTGCAGCCACTGCACCGACTTTATCTGGTGAGTATTGGAGGACGTTGAGGTGTTGTACATACACGGCTGCGAAGGGCACAGGTGACTCACTTGATGCTCGTGAGAGGAAAAACACTAAAGCCTTTGAACACTCAGACATCCGCAGTGGTGTTAACACTGAACAAAGACGCCGACGGAAAAGACAAGCGCTTCGCGCAACGAGTCCAACGCAATGCTGCACCTCCACGAGATATGTCAGTGCATTTATATCTTTACCCATTTTTTTAAGTCTTCTATTCATTAAGAATACATGTTAAAGTGTCTATCACGATAATGAAATATCTCGCGCTATGATTAAGCCATCAACATCCTTAGAGATGGATTTTGGGATTTTGCGGAATATGGCGCGCGCGCCTGCGCGTCTTGATGCGGCGCGCAGAGGAATGCGTCCAGATTTGATTTCTGTGCTGTAATTTCTCACACAGTCTCACCTCTTTTGCAGGGGTTTCGGCAAGCAAGGTTTCCAGTGTCAAGGTAAGACTCTTTTGCCCCATAGAGAAATTTGAGTCCTCTACGTTTTCAAAGTCTGCAACGGTTTATGCTATGTTACACGATAACTGCTTTTATTTCCAATGCTAGCTGTGTAGCAAACATGAGTTCATGGTTCTTTCAATTCATTTGCTTAGAGAAGCTTTTTTGGTTTATAGTGGTGGGTTGAAGAGATTACTAACGACAGTTGGTGCTGTTGAACTCTGGGAGGGGAGACCACTGCTAGTTGTCACAGCCAGCACATACTTATGATAGTTAGGTATATGTTCTGGCCAATTCTTATAAAGTTGTAGAATTTTACCTATATGTTTAGTTTCTGTACAATCTGAAGGTTAAGTTTAGGGGTGGACCCTTATTTTTGTACAAATCACAACATATGAACTACCAAGTCAAGTAGTAGTTACTTTTCTCATAAGATGTGGTGGTCACTGGTTATATGCCAATCTATAATTTGTTTCTGTATACACTCTAAACAATGCTGGGTTGTTTTAACCCAAAATTGGGTAACATATGGACAAACCCAAATGTTGGGTTACAAATGTAATTAAAATTTTTAATCCAACTTTCAACTGTACATTTTTTAAATTATATTTGGGTTGAAATAACCCAGTATTTTTTAGAGTGTAAGCACATACCTTAAAGTTTCAGATGCAAAAGGTTATTGCACAATTACATAAACTGCTGCTAGAGAAAACCATGTTTGAATTGAACTTTTGCGTGGTGTCGTTGAGTATAGCCCTTGGTGAACATCCCTATGTCAATATTCAGAAATAAAATACAATATTCATACAGGGTTGCCATGAATGTCAAAGCCTGAACTGCCATTATAATCGCATTTGGCAGCACTATCCTGAACAACTCGCCTCCTACTCAGTTCATTAATGGGCTGTTAAAAATGCATCATCCACAATTACTAGATTACACCAATGCTACTTACTAAGACAGTGAATACATAGGAGTGGAAACTGGGGCTAACATTTTTTCCTTAAATCAGCTTAAAAGCATTAAAATGACACAAACTTACTTCAGCCACACAACAAACACCATCTACTACGATGCAATGAACTGCTCTGTCTGCCACAGGTGAAACTAAATAAGCAAGATACAGATGATTTAGACCAATCAGATATGATTCAATTGCATGTGTGGACTTGCCAAGTAGTTTCAAGGTAATTAATGATTCAAGATGCACATATCTGTCAGAAAAAAAGGAAACCTGGAAATCCTGTTGTGGATTTTCTTCATTTGTTGTATGAAAGTGTGTATTTTCAGGAAATCATTCAGTTAAAATCTAGTAAAAATAAATTTAACAGCTTTAAATGTTTAAATTCTATGATGATCGTTAAGGATCTCGCCGCTTTGTGCCACTCAGCTCAGATAGATCTCAGGAGTGACTGTTATATTAAACACCACAATTAATACACTGAAATTGTCATCTGTGTGTTTTAGCACAATGAGTTCTGTACAAATGGCCTGCTTGGCTTGTCTGCGGAGATAACGCCTTGTTCCCATGTTTCCTGCCTCCACATGGTCTCCAACAAATTCTAAATTTATGGAATTGATTAGCATATTTTAATCACACTTAGAGAGACATCTCTCTTCCATGGCTCTTTATCTTTGCAGTCTCTAATGTTGAGTACTGTACTGAATTTGTTTGTTTGTTAGTTTATTTTTTTTCTGGCAAAGTCATTCCTTAATTTTCTAATAGTTTTTTTAATTTTCTAATCACTCTGGCATCATCAACTGAATATGAAAGCTTGCCAACGTTAAATCTTGATCTGTTTTACATCATCCCAAGCCATTTTTTAAAGTATATTATTGGCATGATACCAATTTGAAATATTTGCTGTATTGTAGTCCAGGCAGGACCGAAGCTGATGCAGCGATATGTTAACAGCTAATGTTGATCATTTACTTTGTGGACAATACACACACACAAACACACACATATAAAAAGAAATAAAGATTAAATAAACAAAGCATAGATCTGGCCTCATCTTGCTAATGTTTACAGATTGAACCGAGTGAGATAGAACAGCCTGCACTTTCCCTTGTGCCAACATTACATTTCGGTATTCATGCAAGAATCATTGTTATAATTTAGTGTCATGTGGGCATTTCGTTGATTATTTTAAAGACATTATGAAATGAAAATTTCTTGTTGCTTTTAATCTAAAATCTCTTGGTTTAACTTTGGTTGCCTTAAAATTATAAGTTGATTGAACTGGAAAAAGTGAGTTAATACAATGAAGGAGATTCATTTAATCATAAGAAACTCAAAATAATAAGTTATCTCAACTAAATAAATAATTTAAGTTGATTTGACAAAAGAAAGATGTTGTGATAACAAATCTTAAAAAAATATTTGTCTTAGAGTGTATAAGATTGTAATTAAAAAAGCACCAAATCAATTGTTTTTGTTGGGAAATACATCAACTAAGGAGAGAAAACAATGTTTGTCTAGTGATTTATTGGGCTCTTTAAATTCATAATGCAAATACTTACTGGTAAAATGTACATAAGATTCACATCCCATCTCTCATACATAATAATAAAATATATTTTTTTCTTTTTTGTGTAAGTATTGGGTGAGAATGTAAAAGAGGAGGCCAGAGCTGTGTATCCCTGACCTGCTTCTAACAAAGGGATGTGTTTGAGACCAGTACAACAGCTATTTTTACCATTTAATTTTACTGGCAAATACTTGCAGACTGAAGTGAAGAGAGAAAGAGAGGATGAGAATGCAAACACGAGGTTGAAGTGAAAGTTACTGTTCCATAAACCAAGACATGCATGACATAAAGCCTATATTAATGCCTTTGTTCCAAATGCAGTCAAATACAATGGTTTTTAATAATGCTAGAAGATTAATTCAGTCATTAACATCTCTGATCTTTCTACCACTGCAAAACATGTACTTGATGTGCACCTGCGTGTATGTAAATCTATGAACCCAGGTTAGTATTAAATTACACAGTGAACAACATTGGAACAGTGCCAAAATGTGATGTTTGAAAATAGAACAGTTGCTGTCATTGACACAAATATCTGTATCAATCCAAATCTTCTCATTTATATACACAAGTTTAGGGTTTAATATGCATATACGTTGAGTGGAGTAAAAAGCTGTCTGATTTGTAAATGATCTAATGGCAAAAATGTGTGCAAGCTAAAAACCAAAAAGGTTGGGTAATCATAAACGTTAGGCTAAATGATCGTTATTTTAGTGTTTGACATTTCATGATGTTATGGTCACTTCTTTAGTTTGTTTTGTTCACTCATTTGTCTAATGAAGCTTGTCACATATTGGCACTAGACAGACAATGCCTATGAAGTAAACAGTAACATTTAGTTATAGTAACATTATAAATAAATGTACACAACTAATGGAACACTAGAGGCAATGTTTGGAACTGTTATGATGGTTACTGCGTGGACACTGAGGCTGCTTTGAGTTTTAAAGGGACCAACAATCTGATAGCAGGCCTTTGCTACAGAACCCTGTCATCACTGACTGCATGAACCTTCTGTAATCACACAGCTGTAATGACTGGAGGCCAATAATTGAACGCAAAGATATAATTAATAAGGACCTTGACTCTAATTAAGATGCATGTAGCTGTGGAATTTAAGAGATTCCATAATGAATGTGTGTGAAGTCCTATTTTTCCCATTTGTATGCTTGTGTACATACACTGTCTGTAATTCCTTTTATTGGTAGTGATTGCTAGGACAAGCATCACAAGGCATTTTAACAAACCTCTAACCCTAAAGTTAGGGGTTCTCAAATCTAAATTTCAAAGATGAGTTTTAAGTCAGCATGAAACAGAAGTTAGTCTTATTGTGAGGTACACTTCCCTACCAAAAAAAAAAAAAAGTCGCTGTTTGATTTTAAATAGGCTCTTGTTCAAGAGTGTAGGAACTAGTGTTGTCAAAAGACCCGGTACTTTGGTACCAAGTCGGTACTAAAAAATTTGACCGTTGATGGACCAACTCTTCTTAAAGGGTTAGTTCACCCAAAAATGAAAATTCTGTCAGTATTTACTCACCCTCATGTTGTTCCAACTTCCAACCCCGTAAGACCTTCGTTCATCTTCGGAACATGAATCAAGATAATTCATGTTCATGAATACTCGATACTCCATACTAGTCCATAGGCTTCTTGAGGGATTGACGTAGAGCTACGACGTACAGCAATAGATCATGCGCTGTTAAACTAGTAACCTGACTCGAGGCAGAGAGCGAAGTAAATGAATAGTTGAAATAAAGACGTTATTTTTGTTTTGTTTTTTGTGCACAAACAGTTTTCTCGTCGTTTTATAAAGTTAAGATTGAGCCACTGTAGTCACTTGGGCTATTTTAACGATGTCTTTAATAACTTTTCGAGACAGGCATGTTTCAAAACCTCAAGAAGCCCCTTAACTAGTATGGAGGATCGAGTGACCCAGCTCTCAGATTTTATCAAAAATAGCTTAATTCGTGTTTTGAAGATGAATGAAGGTCTTACGGGGTTGGAACAACATGAGTGTGAGTAATTACTGACAGAATTTTCATTTTTGGGTGAAATATCCCTTTAAGTATCGGTTGTACCAAAGTACCGGGTTAATCCGGTGCACAGTTGCGTCCTCTTCGTAAAAACACTGAGACGTGGAGGCGATGCTAATGCGCTGGCTCTGAATCCACTCCTTGACAAGAAAGGAGGAAAGAGCCACTTATGGAAATATTTTGGATTAGGCTAATGTCACGTTGCCATAAGGGGCCGTTCACACGTTTTTTAGTTGTTGTTTTTTTTGCGTGCGCAAATTCGTTATTTTTCGTTACCCTCTTTATAGAAGCTGAATGAATAAAGTCATATACCGGTCTGGTATACACCTAGGATGGCCCGAGAATGAGAAAATTATGGGATTTAAATTTGTTGTTGACGTATTCCTTTGAGCTCTTGGCAATATCCCAGTTAAAGACAATTATCGTTTCCAACCATTTTT